AGATGCATAAAGATAATATAATTTATTATTGACAATTTTAGACAATGCATGTAGTGTCTTTAATATAAAACAAATTGTTACAAATTTGTAATAATCTTATTTTCAGAAAAGGATAAAAAAATTTTAAATGAAATAACAAATATGTCAGCATAAAAAGAGAATAATCATTCTTCTATCTTCTAATTTTGAATATTTACATTTTCAAATCTGAAATTTTTAATTCAAAGAAAACATGATAATTTTGGAACAATCTTTATAAATCAAATCAAATCTTTCTCTGTAACAACAAAGATCTTATCACTATCAGTCATTATTAAAAAAAAACGCATTAAATTTTATGTTTTTCTTTAATGCATTTCTAAAAGCTGCAACTTCGTAAAGAACCTTCCTTTTGCACTTCTTATCAAAGCTAAAAATCTCTATAACTTTCGCATTCGATCTCAAAACGTCGCATATCTCAGAGTTTGATTGAAATACGATGGACAGCTTTCCGATCTCTTTGTTTCCTTCTAGCCTACTAGAACAGTTTGACTGAATTACGGCCGCTGTCTTTCATATCGACTGGATAAAACATCAAGCTTCATAAATACTCATGATTTTTACATTTTGATGCGAAACGTCAAGTAAATTGCTTTTTATAAATGAGAAAATTGCAAATGAGAGAAAATTTTGATGTAGCGTACAATATAATATAGAGCATAAAAAAATCGTATGTTAAATTTTGACAACCGACATTCGGCTATCGAAGTTGCACAACTTACTTCGTAAATTTTACAAGGAATCGGCGCTATCTCTATTTCCATGCGGATTGAATTATATAGGGCGTCACCGCTGATCTCTTTGGAGGTCGGATCCTGCACCGGCTAGATTATATATCTGCCATCGTGAATATAGACTAAGCAACGAAGGATACATCGCGCGGCGTCTGAGGTAGGCAGATAAAGTTCTACAAGCGAAAGAGAGAATGACAGAAAGGTGGAGCTTTCTGTTCCTTCAGTCGGCAAAAGTACTAGGGGATCGGAAGCTCGCTTAAGACGGCGCTTATCATTCATTCTGCCTCCGCACTCCCTCATCTATATGGCTCACCCACCTTTGTCGTTCATCTCCGCGAAGTGTCTACGATCGAGTGAACTGATTAATGGCGGGTACACAGGATTTTTACTCGGTTTCGGAGCAGCGACGGAGAAATATTGCGAAAATATAAGTAAAGTATAAGCAAAGAAACTTGATTTATAATTTTTAAATCGTGGAAATAATGTTCTAGTCCTTGGTGATAATACAAAGACTTTACAATATTTATAGGTCTTGACAATACCTTAATAAATTTTAGATTTTAGATTGATTTGATGAAATGAAACGGATATATTTCATTAATATATTAAATTAATTAATATAATAAATATAACATTAATATAATAAATAAATTTTATAAAAAATAAAATTGGGAGAGAAAAATTAATTCAAATCTCCATAATAAAATTTTAAAGTTTTATCATTATGATAATTATGTCATTCATATAATGATATTATTATTAGTACGAATTTTTTACAAGTTTAAACAAATGTAATTACAAAAAGATCTAACGATCGATTTTATTTAGGGCGAAATAAATTTTTCATGATGCATAATATGGTCAAAAGATGGAACGAAGATTGCGATAAAATTGCATAATCTTACTCATGGAATTTGCGGATATCATCTTGTTACGAGCGGGGGACTCTAAACGAGGGAGAGGAAGAAGGGAGTAACAAGAAGGCGGGGGTCGTTTGCAAGACCGAGGCCGAGTCGCGGCGCGCACGAAAATCGCTTGGGATTCGCGCTGTTTTATGGGACGTTGGAACGCTCGTTTCGCATTGTTTGTTCGCATAATAATTTACGTGCCGGGTTGCTTGTAGGATGACTGCCGACGCGAGGGTTGCCTGGCTGGCTGGCTGGCTGGCTGGCTGGCGGCACGAATAAGAAATGCTCTATATATGTCGTGTCATGTGAAATAGGAGCGGAGGAGATCAGAGAACGGGATAGGGTGGGAAAGAAGGAGGGCAAACACGTGAAGTGGAATGATGCGACAGAAGCGGAGACGAAGAGGAGAACGCACATGAAGAGAATACGTACGTTAACGCGGATCCAGAAACGACGAGGATGCCTCGCGATTTTATTTTCGTCTCATTTCCGCTTTCCCGCATGCAATTGTTTTCCACTGTCATTATGTCTCTTGTTTTCTCTCCTCATCTGTCTCCGGCTTTGCGGGTTGTCTACCGTATCACCTACGCGATATGATCGCGAATATATCTATCTGGCAGAATGGCAGTCAGCTGATGCGAGTTACTCGCATACGAAAGCAAAATCCCGACTTCATGTTCCGTATTCAGTGTAAACGCGATTTTAATATCGTACTGATGGTAATCGGAATATCGAGGAGATCGAAAGAATAATCCTGGTTTAAAATATCATACAATAATCGATATTAAAAGAATGAAGTGACGATGATAATTAACGCGAATATTATAAAGACTGTGATTAAATTTAAATGTTTCACTTAGAACGATCCCATCTTAGCCATCAATGAGTTTTCAAATTTCTTCGATTTCCTTTACGTCGATAACGAAAATGTAATTCATACTAAAAATACGCGAATCATTGAAGCTCGAGATAAAAGCTCGCGAATTTAATTCCAGATCTAATTTTGAAATAAAGAAACGTGTAAATTTCCAAAGTATCATTGCGTTTTTGATTCGTGATATGTACACGTCTGCACATTTCAGAGGAATTTCGGAGTAACGAAGTGGAATTAAGATGTTGGTAGAGGGGGTGTCGCATTGTGCGCCAGTCGGACGGAAGGAAGGTTTCACGACCTTGCAGCTTTGCACGTCCTTTTAACGCCGGATGGGCACTTGAGCTTTCATGACCTTGCGCATCCGCATTGTCCGGTCTTTCAGACGCGGCGTCTTTGGCGCGATTAATTGGAGCGGCTCGTAAGGGCCCGCTAGGACGTTAAGTAGAACTCACGAAACGGCTGAATCACCTCCTGCGAGAAACTTGAAGCGACGCCCATCCGCCAGGACGAAGACAATGACGCGGAAAATGGGGTCTTTGTATGACGTTCTCAAAGGGGATCACATCGCCGTGTCGGAGCGACGTGGGACATTAATCAAGATCATAAAGTTTGAGAAATTGTGATTCCCTCAAAAAAAAAAATTATCCGACAATTATCCGTTTCCCAAATCGGCCGGTTTCCTCTCCGTTACGTTGAATCAAAATCGGTCGGTTCGTGTCGATCGATATGGTAATCGAGGGTTAACGTCTATCGCACGGTGTAGCGATAGACGTGATGGCCGGCTCTTCGGCGAATTCGGAGATCAAAGCGATACCTGCCCGCGTATCCCGCGGGATCATATTATGCGTCTCGTATTCGAGCGTCCTCGTGCTCGAAATCGTGTTCGCGCGAATCCGCGCATTTGCGCTGCGGAAGAATTTGCATCGGCGGTGACGATCTTGCGCGTTATCGTTGTAATTTCCATGGAACATGTCGGATGTATGTATACCCCTTCCCCCGCGAAGGGGGAAACGCATTCCATTTGCGTAACGTCACGTTTGCGTGCAGTTCGCCCAAGTGTTTCTCCGGTTTCTCGGTTGATACTCGGGAAGGAACACCGCGATACACACAGTGAAATGGGAGACATACGAAACGCGCGCGTGCGACTCCGTCTTGAATAAAAGATCGTCTTGAGAATCAGCGCGCAAGAGCGGTG